CGTTAGTATTCCTTTGGTGAGATAGAGATGTTAAGTGTGTGAGTTTGAGGGTGAAAGTTTTAAGATATATGTTGGCGTTATGAGGGTGAGTAGAGCGAGTAGGGATCTGGTTGGTAACCCTCCTCCTCTTTTCCCACGGCTTTTCACTTCATGAACTTGTACGCGGTCTAGGTTCCCTCTGAGTCTCTCGATCCCGCTGCTCCTCTCGAGCCCCTCCTGACCGAACCCACTGCCCCTCGCCCCTCCTTCCTCCCCGTGATTCCGTGCCATTGCCGACACTCCGTCCGTTGTTCGCTCCCCTCTTCGTTTTGATCCTCCCCTCGAGCTCGGCAGAGAGCACAGACCTACCAGATACCAGGACACGCAGACAGAGACGATAAACTCTTACTTATACTATCCTACTATTATATATATACTATATATTATATATATATATACTATGCTATACTATATCTACCTATATACTTAAGAGACGGAGAGAGAGGAGACGAGAGAGAGAGGAGAGAGAGAGAGAGACGAGATCATGAGAGAGAGAGAAATGAGAGAGAGAGGAGGATGAGAGAGAGATAGAGAGACAGAGACAGAGACATATGGGGAAATAGATAGATAGATAGACAGATATGATAGATAGATTTAGACTAGATAGAGAGAGAGAGAGAGAGAGAGGGTGCGAGAAGATTTAGAGAAAGAAAGAGAGAATCAAAAAGACGTATAAAGGAATAGAAAGAAAAAGAGAAAATGACAGAGAGAAAGAAAAAAGAAAAAGAAAATAGACTTAAAGACAAGACAGCAAGCACAAACACACACTCGGGAACAGAAGCAAGTAGGGCTTTTCTTCTGCAAGCAAAAGTCTGCAGCGTATGCAAGCCTTATGCAACAGCTTTACATTCCGTCTCACGTTTTCGCTGAGGCGGTGAAAGTTCGAGAAGGAAGGAAGGAGAGAGAGAGACAAAGGATTAAGTTGATTGGTGAAAGGAGGAGAGGAGAGGTGGCGGATGCAAATGGCGAGAAAAAAGGGGAATTGGCAACGGAGGAGGGTAGGGAGAGAGAAAGTAGGAAGAAGAGAATGGGGGAAGGAGTGGAAAAGAGAGAGATCAGAGAGATGAGAAGAGATAAAGAGAGCATGAGGAGAAGAAGAGAGAGAGAGAGACGCCAGAGTTAGGGCTTCCTTTGACTTAAATGCCTCGTGTCGCCCGTAATGGTTACTCTCCCCCTTCCCCCTCCTCCCTTATTCCTCGTCTCCCTCCCCCTCCTTCGCTCACCCTTTTTTCTTATATCTTCCTCTTAACCCTTTTTTCTCTCCCCACTTTGCGCTCATTTCCCTTCGCTCTTTCTCTTCTTTTTTTTCTGTCTAAGAGTAAAGGATACGTGATTCGTGTTAAAGAAATTATTTTCGATTTCAAGATAAAAAATGATTTATACTGGAATGAAGGAAATTTCAGGTATGAAGCAAACTCGCGAAGAAAAATTCACAGAGTTTAAAGGTATATTCATTTCTCTCTCTCTCTCCTCTCTCTGCCTCCCCACCCCCGCTCTCGCTTTCTCTGCCCCACCCCCTCTCTCTCTCTCTCTCTCTCCTCTCTCTCTTCTCTCTCTCTCTGCCTGCCCCGCCCCCTCTCTTTCTGTCGGTCTGCCCACGCCCCCCCCCTCTCTCTCTCTCTCTCTCTTCTCCCATCGATTTTCGTGATGTCGTAATCTTCTCTCGTCTTGTTCGGAATCAGCTTTTTTTTTTTGAAAGTAGCAGGTGGCTCGAGCCGCTCTACTCCATACTTTGGCCATAAATACAATACAGGCTAACAGAGCCTCTGACCCCTGGCCGTTTTCCCCTTACTCTCCTCTCTTTCTCTCTCTCTCTCTCTCCTCTCTCTCTCTCTCTCTCTCTCTCTCTCTCTCTCTCTCTCTCTCTCTCTCTCTTTCTCTCTCTCTCTCTCTCTCTCTCTCCTCCTCTCTCTCTCTCTCTTCTCTCTCTCTCTCTCTCTCCTTCTCTCTCTCTCTCTCTCTCTCTCTCTCTCTCTCTCTCTCTCTCTCTCTCTCTCTCTCTCGTGTGACGTCAGTAACTGGACAGAACTGAGTCAGACTGAAGCGTTATACTTGTGATCCCTGTGCAAGGTGTGTGACAGTTTTTTTTCTGCTTCTTCCTAATTTTGTTTTCTTTTTTGTTAGAATTGTTAAGCATGATGAAGCTTAAGATGGCTATCGCTGACGTCTTTTGCTCTTGTGGCTTGAGAGAGAGAAAAAAGAATGGGGTGTTACATAAACGATGTCTGAAATTAGTGAATAGGCTACGTTTTCTGTATATCTTTTTGCGCTGTTTCACAGACTAGCTGCCAAACTTTTCACCATTAGTAATAGCCGTTAGAATTCATAAATATTCTAACCCAATACTCCCTTTTTCTATATTTCTCTCCCGCCTAAAAATAATGATAAATAAATAGGTAAACAAATAAATGAGCAAATAAAATACTCTAATGACATCCCTTTCCTTTTTTATGAAGTCTGTGAAGATTAGTAATCAAGCTTAAGAAATGGTCAGTCTTCTTAGCATGTTGAAGGAGAGCGGCTGTAACCTAGGATATTAATAATTCCTTTGCGCCAAAAATTGTAAAGTGTTGACAGGTTACACAAATGCTCCCTGAATTAGATAAGTGAACTTGTCATAGTTTTTTTTTTTTTTTTTTAGACATCTACGAAGTTTTAAGAATTTGTTAATAACTGTACTGTTTTATGAAGGAAGACGTTTGAAAAACATTTTCTTCGTGGTATAGGTCAGTCGTTTTTTTTATTCTGTTTCCTCTTCCTTTTTCTTCCTCCTTTTCCTTTTCTCTATCTTTTTATTTTTCTCTCTCTTTTCTTCGGTTTTTCCACTTTTTTTCCTTCTTGGTTTATTTTCTTCTTCCTTTTTTCAATTCCTTTCGTGTCTCATATTACTTACATTTTTCTTTTCTCTTCCGTTTATCTTCGTCCGTTCCTCTCTTTTCTACGTTTTGAGTTTCGTCTTCTTTCTGCTTTCTCTATAGTTTTTGAAAGTAAATTTATCCATCCTTGCGGAGACAAATAGAGAGAGAGAGAGAGAGAGAGAGAGGGAGAGAGACAACGATAGATAGATAGATAGATAGATAGAGAGGAGAGAAGAGAGAGAGAGAGAGAGAGAGAGAGAGGAGAGAGAGAGAGAGAATGAGAGAGAGAGAGAGAGAGAGAGAGAGAGAAGAGGGGAGAGAGAGAGAGAGAGAGAGAGAGGAGAGAGAGAGAGAGAGAGAGAGAGAGAGAGAGAGAGAGAGAGAGAGGGGGGGGAGAGGAAGGGGAGAAAGAATGAAAATGATCAAATTTCTCTCTATCTGTCTGTCTGTCTCTCTCTCTCTCTCTCTCTCTCTCTCTCTCTCTCTCTCTCTCTCTCTCTCTCTC